TGTGGTGGTGTGGTGTCGTGTGTGTGTGTGTGTGGTGTGGTGTGTGTGTGTGTGTGTAGGTGTGTGTGTGTGTGTGTGAGGTGTGTGTGTGTGAGGGTGTGTGTGTGTGTGTGTGTGCGATGAGATATTTGTCAACGCAGGCCCCAAGACAAGACACGCATGAATCATGAACACAGCGAACCTCCTCCCTCCCTTTGTACCCCTCCCCTCTCCCCCAACCAAGCAAGGCCTTTCACTCAAACACCTCACACGCACCTTGGACAGGCTTTTCTTCGGGAGGACCAATTCCTTGGGCATGACCTGTACAATGAGCGTTTCGAATGCGGTGCGGGCAGCATCGTCCACAAAATGACACACGTTGAACTCCGCAGTTGCTACACCACGCAAGTGATGGATGACATGGACCAAGGACGGGTTGGAGGGAGTTGGAGGGGGGAGGGGCGATTGTGAGCGATGTGCAATTGAAAAGAGGTGGCAAGGTGCGGCGGTTGCGGCTGAGATTGCGTGAAAAGAGAGGATAGGATATCAGACGTGGCAGTTGAAGGAGAGGAAAATGGGAGAGAAGACAGTCATGCCCGCAGGGATGCACAGAGAGAGAGAGAGGGGGGGAGAGAGAGAAGCGAGGGCACAGGACGCGGCAATGCGACGACAGCTTGGTGTGCCATGAAGGCTGCATACCTGTGTCGGCAAAGCACACGCCGTACGTGCGGGTGTCCTCATCCTCCTGCCATGATGAAACACCGGAGAGCCGAGCGTGAGCTTTCGGTACACGCAAGAACAACATCGCTTCTGGCGGCACATTCAACGAACACACACGCACGGACAATGTGTACATGTGCAAACGAGCAAAAACAATCGCTCGCGCAACCAATTGCAAGATACATTGCGCACGCACGCACCTTGATTGCCATGATGAAGTTTGACATGTCTCCGATGACAAAATCGCCCATGAGGGTGCCCTGCGTGTACACCGCACTCAACTTCCGCTCAATGATCTTGGGGCCTGGAGAGCACGCAGTTGGGTGGAGTTTGGGGGGGGGGGTGAGGACGAAGCAGCAACGCAGCTGTACAGCGTGAAGGTCGCATACGCACATCGCCAAGGCGCACTCTTGCTGGCATCGCCGGGCACGGCTGCCACACACATACACACACATACACACTGTCACACACACACACACACACACACTGTCACACACACACACAAACACACACAAGCACACACACACAAGCACACACACAAACACACACAAGCACACACACACACACATGCTTACACACCACCACCCCCCGGGCAACGTTGCCGTACCTTTCTTCCCGGTCTTTGTCTCGCGCATTTTCTTTGCAATGGCGTTCTCTCGCTCGTCCACGCGTGCAACCTTGTACCCTTTGGCCAGGAAGCGGGCAGCCCAGTCTGGGAACGTGATCTCAGGGACACCAGCCATGCACATGTTGACACGATCTGTCATCTTGAGCTGGAACTCGCGGTTGCCAATCTCGGCGTCTCGCTCGTACAGCTCATAGAACTTCCCCTTTTTGAAGAAGAGGATTGTGTTCCAGTGGTGCTGCTTGATGTCCCAATACTGCTTCTCAAACGGTGTCATCTTCGCCCAGCCAGACGGTGGGATGTACAAGGAGGTTGGGTCAAACTCTGGATGCCCCTCAGTCCGCTTGTTCTTGTCGCGCGGACGTGCAAGCCACGCGTACCGCTCTGGGCTGCCGTTGCTGCTGCCTTGCTTCTTCCCTGCGGTGGGAATGCTTCCAAACGACAGCCCGCTGGCGCTCGTGAGCCCACCGCCGCCGCCACCACCACCACCGCTGCTGCTGTTGCTGCGGCTGGGTGATGAAGACGCCTGCAGGCGTGAGGATGAAAAAAGATCACAGCCATGAACGTGAAAAGTGGTGGTGGTGGTGGTGGGGATGATTGTAAAGGTGGTGATTATAACGATGGTGGCGGTGGTGAACAATGGCAGTTGCTTCAAAAACCATGCCACATCACGCAACCAGCAAACACAAGTCACGGTTAACAGACATTGCGTTCAAAGCCCGCACATGCAGTGCACGCATATACGCATGCAATAAAATGCACGGTAAGGCCCACCTTGCTTGGTGTGCGCTTGCTGCGCTTCTTTCTTGGTGTTGGGACATCCTCCTCTTCGTCATCCTCGTTTAGAATGTCGGACTCGGGTTCCTCCACGGCAGGCTCCTCGTCCTCCTGGATGACGCGCGCCGTCTGCATCATCTCCTGCTCGTCGTCATCGTCCTCGTCCATGATGGCCTCATCTGCATCGTCCGGCACGTACTCGTCAGACTCAGAGTCGTCGTCATCGTCAGAGTTGACCATGCGTGCCACGCGCCGTCTGCCCTTGCCACCGCCCTTTGTCTGATTCTTCTTCAACTTCTGCTGCTTCTGCTGCTTCTGCTGCTGCTGTGCGCCGCCCTTGCGACGGGTGCGCAGTGCACGTCGCACGGCTTCTTGCTCCTCGTCATCGCTGCTCGCAGACTCATCATCGCTGTCAAAGTACTTGACCACCCGACGCACGCGGCGCCCACGGCTCGTGTACATGACCTGCTCCTCCTCTTCCTCCTCCTCCTCTTCTTCCTCCTTGTCTTCGTCTTTCTCAGTCTGGTCGGGCTCTTCGCTCTCCTGCGCAGCCTGGTCGGTGCGCTTGGTTACGGGGCTTGCCTTCTGCTGTGAAGAGGGGGCTTCTGTCTTGGCTTCTGCCTTGGCAGCAGTCGTGCTGCTGGCCTCGGCCTCCTGAGATGCGGTGTCGCACACGGAGGCGGGTGTTGTCATTGCGCTGTCGTCACCATCGCTGCCATCGTCGGAGGCGCCACGCGCCTCGGTGATCTTCTTGGCCTTTTTGGACGGGTGTGGCTCTGCTTGCTGGCCAGCCTCGCTCGGCTGCGTCTGCAACAGCTGCTGCTGTGTCTTGGTCTTCTTGCCGGCTGGTAGCTCCCGCTTCACTGCCTCTGCCCCAAGCGGCGGCGGCGTCTTGGACGGCGTCGCCTCCGACGACCTGCGTGTGTGTGCGCGTGTGTGTATGTGCGTATGTGTGTGTGTGTGTGTGCGTGTGCGTGTGTGCGTGTGTGCGTGTGTGTCAACCACGCCTCGAGCTGCAGAGTCAAAGGGCAAGTGCAAACAACGCAAACGACGCAGCAGCAGCAATGCAGACCAACAACAACGCAGAATGAGAACAAGGCCACGTGGCATACTTGGCGGATGGCTTTGCCGAGCGGGTGATGAAACCCAGCAAGCTGCCTTGCTTCAATGGCGATTTGCCTGCGCAACACCACCAACAAATAAACAGCCAGCCAGCCATCCAGCCAAGGGATGAGATGAGTGAGGGAGAGAGTGCTAGCGTCAAGCAAGAAGGGGTCCCATGGTGACGGCAAGGCACGCACGCACGGGCCTGGCTGGCCAGTGTACCAGCCAACAACAACACCAACACACACACACACACACACACACACACACACGCACACACGCACACACACACACACATACACACCTTGCGACTGTCGCTTGCCAGCCATCGCTGTCTGCTGTCTGTCGTGCTGTCTGGTCTTGCTTGGTGGCGCCAAAAAATGGCGGCAGCCTCTGCTACAACTTATCGTGTCGCAACCCGTCAGTTTGAGCTGAACGGGTGCGTCTGCATTCCCGGTGGCCCACATTCGGCTGTAATTGCACCTGCAATTGGCAAATCAGCTCCTTTCCCAGTCGGCCACACCGCAAAACAACCAAAGCCCAAAGTGTCTGAGCAGACACCTCTAACTCATGTAAACCAACCAACAACCCGGCCAGACGGAGACAGAGAGAAAGAGAGAGGGAGAGAGAGAGAGAGAGAGAAAGTATGCGTCCGTGTGTGTGTGCGTGTGCGTGACTTAATAGGGCCCTGTTAACCGCCTGTGCGGGTTTTATTTGGTGTGACATTCCCTGCACGAGATCTTCTATATTGCTATTCAACCACATCAACAACCATGTCTCGAACTACAAAGACGCGTGCATCCTCAGACTAACACAGGATGCGCCCCACACGCGCAGGTCCCTCCTAGTGTCATTCATATGCAGCAGAACACGTCACAGTGAGCGGGGTGTAACCGCAAACACACCACACACGCACCACCCCATATGGCGCACCATGTGCAAGCATGCGTGCACCCCGGTGTGGGCGGTCCAACACGAAAACTGGCAAAACTACGCACCTCAAACTAACACAGGATGCGCCCCACACACGTAGGTCCCTCCTAGTGTCATTCATATGCAGCAGAACACGTCACAGTGAGCAGGGTGTAACCGCAAACACACCACACACGCACCACCCCATATGGCGCACCATGTGCAAGCATGCGTGCACCCCGGTGTGGGCGGTCCAACACGAAAACTGGCAAAACTACGCACCTCAAACTAACACAGGATGCGCCCCACACGCGCAGGTCCCTCCTAGTGTCATTCATATGCAGCAGAACACGTCACAGTGAGCGGGGTGTAACCGCAAACACACCACACACGCACCACCCCATATGGCGCACCATGTGCAAGCATGCGTGCACCCCGGTGTGGGCGGTCCAACACGAAAACTGGCAAAACTACGCACCTCAAACTAACACAGGATGCGCCCCACACGCACGGGCACCCATTGACACGGGTCGCAAGTGCCACACTTCGTCGCAGTGAGTAAGAAAAGGTCAGAAACGATGAACGCACACCCCGCCATGTGGTATGCCGTGTGCGCAGTCTTACAGAGGTCTTGACGAACAATTGAGATGTCCTCCTACGCTGTGATGAGCCTGGTCAGCTTGCTTGGCTGAAAGGACTGGGCAGATCGCCTGCACAACCGGTGGCCAGTGGTGTTATGTGAGCGTCGTGCATGAGCAGAGAAACAACGCATCGGCACGACACTGGCATCAGCATGCACGCCCACGGGGAAAGTGAACGAACAAACAAGCAAGCAAGCAAAAATACATAGAAACAAACACACATATGCATACACACACAGGAGCGCATGTTCATTCACGTGAACAACAGCTCAACGAACCAGGCTGTAGTTTGGTCGGAGTCACGTCGACAGAGGCAACCGAGCTTCGGCCACCCACCATCTTCTCGCGGATGCGCGGGTTTGGTGCCTGATGTTGACATTCCTCTTGAGCTTGCTGCCGCCGCCGCCGCTGCTGTTGTTGTTGTTGTTGTTGTTGTTGTTGTGGTTGTTGTTGTTGTTGTTGTTGTTGTTGTTGAGGCACCTGTGGTTGTTGTTGTTGTTGTTGTTGTTGTTGTTGTTGTTGTGGCACCTGTTGTTGTTGTTGAGGCACCTGTGGTTGTTGTTGTTGTTGTTGTTGTTGTTGTTGTTGTTGTTGTTGTTGTTGTTGTTGTTGTTGAGGCACCTGTGGCTGTTGTTGGTTGTTGTTGTTGTTGATGTAGCTGTGGTTGTTGTAGTTGT